GTAATGTAATGTAATGTATGCATGTATGTGTGCATGCATGTATGTATGCAAGTATGTCTTTACATATGTGTGCAAATTATATGTACAGGTGTGTACATGTACATATGCACCGGGTCGCTCCTGACACAACAGGCAGAACACGAGCCGTCCCCTTCTAACGGGATGAAATCTTAAACCTGAAACCCCAAAGAATCCCGATCTATCATGCCCTATAGTGAATCCCGGAAAGTTGGAACATGGATTTAGTATGATTAGTGCTGGGATCCGCTATACTTTACCTTTAAGGGCTTGAGGATAATGATGTTCCAACTTTCTGGCTTCTACTCTATAACTTCTGTAACACAGACACGAAACTCGAGCAAACACTTCCTCAGTTGAAACCCCAAAGCCCCAAAGCTACGCTAGGACTCTCAAAACGACTAAACCTTCAGGACCCTCAGCCCAAAAGCTGCAGAGCCTAGAACCGCAACAAGTCCAACTTTGCCAAGGGCTCTGGCGTCAGTTCGCCCATGGAGCCCATGTCTTTACTGCGGGAGGAAAGCCTCGGCTGAAATGTGCTTTCTCTTTCCCTTTGGCGGATCGATCTGAGCATGCTAGGGGCTTGGGGTTTAGGCTTCGGTGTTTTTTGTGCTTAGAACGGCCGGCTAGGGCATCTTTTCATGGCCCCGGGGCTGTCGGGGCTGAGGGAGGCTCTTATGGCTGAGGCTTGAGGGGCTGAGAGAGAGCTGCTTCAGGAGTTCTTGCTGCAGACCCCATGGTCCCGAAAAGAATTTAAAACCCGAAAGCCCGAACCCCAAAATCCTCTGGAGCCGAAAACTTCCCCTAAGCTCTTCAATCCGGAATGCCCAAGAACATCAGCCGGGACACTGCGCAGCGAGCTCCTTCTGCTTCATCACAAAGAAACCTCGGCTCCCACACCCAGAGAAACCTTTAGGCCCCTCGAAGCTTCAGAATCCGTGCCTTTGCGCGTCACCAACATCGTCGCTCAAGGGCACTTGGACATGGAAACTACTATAAATGCTTAAAGGGTGGTTTGGGCGATGACGAGAATACAAACTTGAAGCTTGAAAAAGCTCTTGGCTGGCCTGAACCTAATCCCCTGAATCATGCAAGGAAGGGTTCAGGGCAAAGGTATGAGTGGAACTACCAACTCTCAAAGGCTTCTTCTCACGTGTGCTATGTTGCTGTATTTGTTGGGAGTACCTACCCACCTGCTTGCCCACCTACCTGGGTACTTACGTGCAAACGTACCTGCGTGTGTCCATGCATATCATTATCTGTCTATTTGCTGAGGATCCTGACTACGGCCCATCGCATCCACATCGCTACACTCACTAAACCTGAGACTTCTCGTTGCGCGCAGCGGGCTTGGCTGGCTTTGGGGATTAGATACTCTGCTGCACTGGAGGTTTAGGGTTAAGGGTCTGGCTGCCCCGTATGATTCAGGTAGTATGCTACAACCTCATTTTGGGCTCCGTTGACTAAGCGGGTGTTGTGGATGATACTGCTCCCGTGCAGCATTTCGTGGTCCATATGGACCAGATAGTTTGTTAGTAGCAATAGGCGTGTCCCCAAAACCTGAACCCAAACCCGGAAACGTTCATCTGCAACCCTAAACCTTTGAAACTGGCTAGCAGAAACAGTTTGACGTGCGGCCAACAAAACGGAACGAAAACTCGATGGGTTTCCAATGCCAGAGGTCACCGTTTCGCATAGCTTTGGGGTTTAGGTCTGCGCTTGGGGTCATGAAGTGGAGCTGATGTCCTACAAAGGCTGCTGCAGAGCTCGACACGTCAGTGAAGATTGCGCCACGGCCAAACGCAAAGCTGGAAAATGAACCTATAGTCAAGACGGCAGTAGAGTGCATTAACACCTGAAGAGACAAAGTCTGAATCGTTCAGAATTCAGTGCTGCTGTTGTCGATTTGCCCCAGAAATCTAGCTCACCCCCGTTTGGAGTTCGTCCTGGTTCCTACCAGCTTTTCATCATCCAGGAGACGCTTCTTCAGCATCAACAAGGTGGCTTCGGCATCTCCTTCGGTCGGACAGGTCGAGCCATGGATGTTTTAGGGGCTATGAGACTTTAGGGTTTGGGGTCATGCCCCTGCCTTCTCAAAGAATTGGGGCGTGTGGTCTTGAATGACGTATGTGAGGCTGTTTTAGAAGGAAGGTACCGAAAGAGACCGGGCGAGAGAAAGAGACGTTTCTGGCAGGAGCTTGCGTGTGGTTCTGCTTAGCGGGCTCTCAACTAGGATGCGGTTTACAGTCTGAACACTTGTGCTAGCTACTACAAGTAATAGGTGGCTTCATTTCATTCAGGGAAGCAAGGCCCCTTTGAAACGGATCTTGATCTTGGAACAACCCCTGAAATAGGGCTGGTGGCTGAGTGGTCACTAAGATGAAGAGATACCCCACTGGTAAGGCTCTGAACACTCCCACACAACTACCATGGATCTGCTTGAACCCTCACGGTTCTGCGCTCAGGATGCACGTGTGAGCCTGAGAACCAAGATGAACCAAGCCCGAAACAAATGATCAAGTCGTGCTACGCCCGAACTGCACAGAGAGGCTCGAATCGCCAGGATGGCATGGTGATCAGAGACGACATGCGAGAAGTAGTACATGTCCTCAGTGTCAGGGAGATTGAACACGGATATACACCTTTCCGCACCAAGTCCTAAATGGTACCAAACAGTAACTCCAACTGGGTCTTAAATCTTCCGGAAACCACAGGCATTCGCATCTCAGGAGCTGCAGTCACATGTCGTCACTCCCATGGTTCAGAGAGCCGGCACGACTCATGTGCTCACGACTCGGCGATCATGAATTTAATTGACATCCCCCTGCTGACGCTGCAGCTTCAGATCCGGGGCATTCCTGATGCCTGAATCCTCATCCGTAAATGCCAGACCTTCGAGCCAGAACCACCATCGCTGCCGCACCTTAAACACCCTGAACTCCACACCCTCAACCCTCAATCAACTGCAGAACCAGAATCCTTGCAGCACCCAACTAAGAGCGGCTGCGGCACGCCTCCGGGATCCCCCTTACCGCTTTGCTGGCGATCGGAGACAAACCTCGGCCTTGGCAGCGGCAATCAGCGCGGCTGGGTACTAAAAAAGAGGTGTGTGTATATATGTATATATATATATATGTATGTATGTATGTGTATATGTACATATATGTTGATATTCGTATGTCAAGGGGTGCGATATTGTGAGGACTCTGATAAAAGGTATTATGCATCTATATGGCGTCATCATACTGTCAACATAACTTTTGTCTTACACGGTCACTGTTCCCACTGTTCTTGCTTCTTGACGGTACCCTCACCAGTATTACTATTATTACTTCATTCCGTAACCATTTTGGCTCAAGCCATTTTGGCTCAAGTCGCAAGGTGTTTGTGCTCGTCGGGTATGTTAGATTCTGACGGCACGTAACCCAAGCACGGCAACTCCCTGCTACTGTACGCACGGCGAGGTGGTAATGGCAAAAAAACCCGTTGCGGCTGGGTTAGTACTTTACGTACGGCGGTATCTTCATTTCAGTTGACACCTCTCCGTGGGAGTGGCCTGAGTCGAGGGAGGGTTCTTACAGTACGTAAGCAAGCTCAGGCTCTTCATCGTCTATCAAGTTTGCAACAGGGCAGTGTGTGATGACGGATCATCCCCTTCACCACCATCACCCCCCTCCTCCTCCTCCTCCTCCTCCTCCTCCTCCGCCTCCGCCTCACCATCGCTAGGCCAGTACCACGAGAAACAGCAACCAAACAAGTACAGATCATCCACCTTGCATGCGGGTGTGGGGTGTGTACCTTCTTGAGCTTGCAAATGAGTCCCTTTCACCGAGACACACACACACACACAGAGTCACACACACACACACACGTACACAGGTTGTGCCGTGAATCGGCCTTATGCTGAAAGCTCGGCTTGATCAGCATAGGCTCCCACCCAGCCGAAAGGCACATGACGACTTGGCGGCTGGGTTCCGGCATGAACTTGCGACTTGTGACTGTCAAAACCCTGAAACCAAATCTTACCGTGCATGCCTGGCATCGGGAAGGCCTTCACCCGAAACCTGAAAACCTACCGTAAGGGTTAATGATTCATGCTTCAGGGTCCCAGATTTTGAATCGCTATATGGTGTTACAGCTGTGCTGATCTGTTCAGTTGGGTTAGATCGGTCTAGGCTACTGTCGAGTCGGAGCATTTCTTCTGTCACATCCAAATAACTCACAGCAATCTGAACCTCCAGCCTTAGATATAAATTACCACCTTGAAGTCCGCAACCTCGCAGAGAGAAATATCGAGAAGACCTACGTAGCTGAAAGCCTACTTCTGCGGCACAGTATGTAAACTCAACTTCCCCGTAATTATATGCATTCTCTAGGACTGACCGTGATCTCTACAATCCCTCTCCCTCTCTGCCAGACCTCCTTTCACAGGGTGTGTGGGTCATGACAGTTTAGGTGGATCTCAGCACCCCGCAAATCCTGTGCAGACAGAGCAAACTTCGACAAGCGCTTGCCTGCGGAACCACGCTGCATCTTTTCTTCTGCTACGGTTTGGGTGCTAAACCCGAAGCCCTCAACGAAAATCCTGAACGCTGCACCTTCAACCCGGAGGTACAAGTTGTTGGTCTATAGTCTGTCTATATACTGAGGGAGAGACGACTTCCGAGTTCCGAGGGCATTCTTCAAACAGTCTCTTTCATGAAACGTGGGGAGGCGCAGCAAATGAGAAAGGAGCAAGGAGGATGCAGAAGTAGAGGGTTTGGGATTCACAGCTTGAGGCACTTCGCATATCATGGATTAGGGCATTAGGGTTTAGGACTTGCTGATAGCAGACAAGCATCGTAAACCTAAAGATAAGCATCGTAAACCTAACGGAGTGACCCTTTCGGCACACAGATGACAAACCTAAACTAGGAGCCCAAGAAAGCACCTCAACATAAACTGGTGCGGTAAGAATATCCGTATCATGGGAGATCACTAGTCACTGGTATAAAAGTCTGTGAGCTATCTGGGTCCAACAAAGACTGCAGACCCAAACAGGCTGAAGTCTGAAAGCAGAGACAAGAACCCTGATCCCAAAACCGTAACCTGAAGCCCAGATCTGAAGCCTTAAAGCCCCCGCAGCCTCACCCATTCCAACACAACCACAGATCCCCCACGCCATCCGACCCAAATACTCATCCTCCACGAATCGAATAAACTCCTAAGTACCAAGCTTGGAACTCCGCCCCACTAGGACCAAAACAGCCCCACGGCCCCGAAACGCCTGTCTCGTCGATGACCTGAACCAACTCCAGGTTTAGAGACTCCAAGGGTGGTCGATCCGGCTCTACCTCGGCCAGGGTTTTGGTCTTGGACAGGGCCCAGGATTTCAGCTTTCGGGCTTTGCGGTTCAAGGCTACCCAGTAGGTCTCGGATTTCGGTAGGGGGAAGGGGGAAGGGAAGTAGGGGTCTCTTGGACGGATGGCTGGGGCCAGAGTTTAGGTCGATCTGCACACCTAAAAGCACATCATTTCGAGGTCATTCAGCAATGATCCTGCACGTCATTCTGGCCTCTCGGGTGAGCTTCACGGCGTGATCTTTCGACGACGGTGGCAACGTGTCCCCAGTAATGCAGCGCATTGGATAGGGCGGCGTTCGAATCTAAGGTCTGACTGTCCTGAACACGAACCCTAACCTGTGCTCCTGCAGTGCATGTCCTCAGCTAGCCCGCTTCAGGATCAGAGCCTGAAGTATCTTTCGGGCTTGATCTTGCAAGATTTCGCGACTGGCTTAAGCCGGCCTGCTTACGATCCAGGTGTAGAGGATGCTACGCTGCTACATCCTCCAGTTCCGACCTCATTCTGCGTAGAGGGTGCGTGTGAAGGCTCGTCCACGTTCTGTTTAGACTACAGCTTAGACCGCTTGATTTGTAAGGTGCCCGTCAACCCAAACCCCGCATTCGCTAAACCACCCTTGTTCTTCAACTGCAAGCACCTCAACTCTCAAATCCAAAAACGCTGACCCCGCTGCACCCTTCACCAACCGCATCGAAACCAACCCCTCATACTTCAAGCCCCGAGTAACAAACTCTAGCGTCGTCCCAGCACGGCCAAGCATCTGGTTCGTCTGGATCTTCCTCGGGCTTCTCCCCCTGTCGAGCTGACGGCAAGAGAACCACCTCTAAAAGTGTTTTCGAACGTGCTATCGTCGTAAGATGCCATCAAGCTCCTGACAACTGATTGTTGAAGACTCGGTGTCTCCCCTGATGCCGGCGGCCCGGGTTGGGGACTCTAGATCATGAAGCTAAGACATCTCTCCAACCTGCCTGCATCAACATCGCGTCCTTGCAAAAGAAGTTGCAGAAGGTACGAATGATCCCGACATCGCCACAGACCATCTGCATGTCGGCTGTTCGCAGCGATGGTCCTAGCTCGGTTGTTATAAGCTCGAAAACTCGGAACAAAGCCACCCGGAAGAAGGCCTCTGTGACTCCAAAGAAGCTGGAAAGTCGCAGCTCGGATGCCCTAGCACTGGACGCCACCGATGCCCGATTCCTGGGCGACGACAAGACTTATCTCTAGGTTCCCGTTTTACTTGACTGCTAGCTAGCTATGGGTGTGCGTATACAAGTACGTGAATGCAGGCATGCATGCAGGCATTCATCCATTCATTCAACCATCCATGCATGCATGCATGCATGCATGCATGCATGCATGCATGTGCATCGCTGGCTAGACAACAAAGGTGCCCAAACACAAAACGGAAAATCACAAACACACACACAAACACACACACACACACAAACACACAAACACACACACACACACGCACACACACACACACACGCACGCAGGTGTATGAATAAATATATTATATACATACTCATTGTGTACTGTCGCTATTTGCATTGTTCGATTATTTTATATTATAGGTACGTATGTATATATATATATGAATAAATACATACATGCATACATACATACATACATACATACATACATGGATACATATACACATACATACATACATACATACATACATACATACATACATACATACATACAGGCACACATCCATCCGTCCATCCATACATGCATACATACATATACATATATATATAGACATACACATGCATACATGGCACATACATGCAGACATACATCCATCATCATCCATCCATACATACACACATACACTCATGCATACATAAGTCCACGCATGCATCCATGATTACATAAACAGGCACATGTATACACAAAAGTATACACTTTTGTATATATATATATATACACATATATGTACATACGTACACACACACTTACATATACATATACCTTCGTACATACATACATACATGCATACATACATACATACATACACATAAATAGATACATCCATGCACACACATATACACAAACGTACAAATGCCACCTGAAACCCACATACTTACACACGTACAGGCCTATCTGCCTACTGCCAGTCTACCTACCTGCATGCATCCATACAGCAACCATACATACCCATACATAAAACGCGTGTACATGCACACGCACATACAGGGCATGTACATACACATACACGTACAAACAGACATAACACATGCAAACATGTACACACACACACAAAGACATAAATACATACATACACATACGTGCAAACACACACACATACACATACATACATACATGCACGCACACACATACTCACACAGACATACAGACATACGGACATAAGCACATATATACATACATACATGCATACCTACATACATACATACATACATACATACATACATACATACATACATACATACATACATACATGTATGGGTGTGTCGCGGACACGGCTCACCCTGCAAATCCTCTACCTGATCAAGCACTTTAGCCCCTAAGTGATGATAGTCGCTGCACAACCACAGAAGAGACCTAAACCTTGAATCCAAAAGCCCGGAATCCTCAAAGGTAGCAAGTCATTATGCCAGCGGAGATCCCCAAAGAGTGAAAGGCCAGAACAGACGCATGCCATTAGGACAAGAAAGTCACGACCGCTGGACCTGCGTTGTGCTCCCGATACCCAATCCCTCAGCAGATCGCTCCCAGGAGCACCCGACAACAAACACACACACACACACACAGACAGAGACAGAGACGCACAAAAACACATTTCTGCGCTTGTTGTAAAACCTTTCAGCCCGATTGCAAAATCCTACAACCCAATAGCCCTAGCAAGGCCTCATGCTCCTGTTTGACTCAGTGAGAGGAAACTCCCAAACCCATAGAGCCCCTTGAACCCTAAACCCTACACCCGTAAGAACAAGAGCCTAAGCCTTGTAAGCCTCCTCAACCTGCATTATTACCCGATGCATTAAATCCGAAGCAACAACACTAAACCCTAAGCAGCCCCAAGATCTCCTGAGTTGCAGACTCCGTGCCCTCTGGAGCCTCAGAGATGGGCGCCGGCTTGCGCGCATCCTGCGAAAGAACTCACGTCAGAGTAGGGAGTTAGGGTCGGGATAAAGGGGTTGCGGGAGTTGACGGTGCAGGATCTTGGAAGTTTTGCTGGAAGTATATACAGGCTTAGAGCAAGACTGTTGCTTCACTATTTATCTTATGCTAGGGCCTCACCTCGGGGATGCAACTCTGGGGGTTGACGGTTGACGGGGTTTCGCTGGGTGGTCGTGAGTGTTGGCATCAGAGAGGGCTTCACGTCGAACGCTGCTCGTTCAGTTTAGAACTTCCAGCATCACTGTTTGGGGTTGCGGGTTCATGGTTAAGGAGCATGACGGGCTTGTGCCTTTCCAGGCTACCCAGCCCGAAGCACTAGTACCATCATTGGGCGCGCGACCTTAACACATGGATCCAACATCGTCCCATCATGAAGAACTTTGAAAACCTGAGCGCCTCATCAAACCCACCATCAACACACAGAGTCCGAAGCCTTCATCATTTCACCCACACATGAAAGTCATCTGAAACAGCCTCTAAAGAGATCAACAGATGGCTTTGCTGATTTCTATAATCCTCTATACTCTGGACTCTGGACCTACTCTGGACCTTCAACCACGAAGGTCGGAGGAAGGTGCCAGAACCTCCAACCCCAATCTTCAACCCAAGACGTAGATCTGCAAGCCCTTACTCGAAGCCTGAAACCCCAAATTCTACACCCGAAAACCCCACACCTTGAACCCGAGAACCCTGAACCGAAAAAGCCTAGGCCCATCGCAGCCTTCTCCTTCGGGTTTTCTGCCAACTTCTGGCGCTCCAGCTCGAGCTGGGCTTTCACCCATTCCTCGGCTTTGTAGGCTTTCAGAATTCAGGGCTTCACGGTTTTGGTACGGCTGGAGGCCTTAAAGTTGAACATGTTTCAAGGACTTAGGGCTTGCAGCTTTAAGTTTAGGGTGTAGGAAACTGATGACGTTAAGGGCTGGCTTGGGGTTACAGCCCACAGAATCACTGCGTTTCGGCGACACATTCGGGAATGCTTGGGCCGGAGACAGCAACTATATTATGGACATACGCATGTCAAGTTACATGAATCCTGTGTTTGCGCTTGCCGAGACTCTCAGAGCTAATCTTACGGCCTGCGGCCAAAATCTCACAAGCAACTTTGTTTTGTGGCTTTATATATTTTGACTTTGCCAATGCAGGTTCAGGTTTGAATCTGGAGCCCTGCTCTAAAGACGCCAACAGCAAACCAAGACCTGTGCATCTGCAGTAACAAGCCTGCAAACTCATCAACCCCACGACCTTCAGCTTCCAAATCCTGAGCTCTAACCTCAGATCTTGAACCTCCTGAACGTTCAATCTTGCCGAAACCCACGAGACACTTCGTAGTCTGCAGCGTACTGTTAGCTTGAGCACTTGCCGCAAGCCTACCTCAAATCTTAGGAAAGGAGCGCTGAAGAGGCGCAAGGCACGGTCCAAACCTGCAACGACGCCAATCCGGAACCGTACACCAAAAATCCTGACCCAACACCCAAACCGAACCCTGCGCCCTGAAGACACTAGAAGGACTCTCATACGTTGATCTGGCAGAGGCTGGTAGCATGTCGCAATTCAGAGGGTTTAAGTGCAGACCTACCCTTAAACCTGAACCCCCTAGATCCTCTGCAACTCCATTTTCGACGGTCTCTCTGGGCTCTCTGCTGAGCACGGCTGTTCGATGGATTTTTTGTCGACCAGGAATCGAGGCTCATCGAGTTGAGGCTTTGGGGCACGTCCCGAAACCATAGAAGTGCAGAGGCCTAAACAGTACAACGGGAAACAAACTTCTCCATTCTGCTACTGTAGAAAGACTTTTCAAACCTCATAGTGCCCTAAAAGTCACATCCAGGTACTCGGCACCCTGAGGCAAGATCTGCAAGAAACCACTACCTAAGCCCCCCAAGGAAACTCCAAGCACCCGACATCCTCTGAAGCCACGTTGAATGCATGGCTGCTGGATTTACAATGCAGGGCAGGCTCTTCCTGGCATGTGCCCTAACCTGCAACCGATTCTTCAGCTATGGATGTGAAAAACGACAACCCTGCATTCTGCTTTCGGTAGATATACGGGTCTACAACATAGTTGGGTTTGGGCTTCAGATACTCGCTAAAGGCTTGGGACGCAAGTTGCAGGCAGCCGACCTCCCATTTGGAAGGCGGTGATGCTAGGCTGCAGGAGAGGGTTTCCTGAGGCACAGTCTGTGGGCACTCGATGCCGTGCAATCTCAGCTTGCATCATGTGCTATACCATGCTAGATCCCAGAACTAATATATCCGGTCTTCTTCCGCGTTCTCGAACCCTAGGTGCAGGGCCCAGGGCTTGAAGGGCTTCGGCGTCGGATCTCCGAAGCATTGCGAACGGTTCCACACGGAGTCGTCGTTTCGTTTACCGTAGCTTCTGTTTCCACCCAGCTTGTAGGATCACTGTCACTCAACCTAAGCACCGAGAACCCGCAAAAACCAAAAACCCTATTGCAGTTTTTGGAGGTTGAGAGCTTGGTTGCATTGCCTGAGCCCATCCAGGGCAAAACTACGAAATCCATCGAATTTCTGAATGCCACTAAATATGTAGTTGCCTTGCTGTAGAAGGGCTCCTGCTGCCGTTCACATCCCAAGTGTAAAGCTTTTTTGGAGAAGCCCAACACCCTCTACCCAGAACACTAGCAATTCAAACAGCACCCGGATTCTGATATGGTTTGCCCGGCTGCCCTCCACCAGAAGCTCTTCAAGCGCGCCACCCTTTTGCTTCCACCTGATCCAGCGATCCGAAAATCTGCCAATTATGCTAGCCCAGCTAGGATTCGAATAGTCTTCTGAGCTAGCAACATAATGTGTTGAATCCTTCTTGTGTCTCCTTGTGGATGTTCTTCTAGGGGGTTGGCGGCAAGTCCGAAGAGCCCCTAGCGTTCCAAACTTCTTCGAACGGTTTGTGCAGGGCGTGCGCTCCTGGTTTCGGGATGAAGGTAGAGGGCTTCGGGCTTAACGGCAGCCCAAATGAGCCTCTTCAGCTGCCCTAGTAGGTATAAGATTGAAAGAGTTTATTTCCGCATGCATGCATGGAGACTTCATGTAAGTCTGTCAGTCACCTAGTCAATCCAAGAAGGCAGGAAGGAAGGGAGGGAAGGAGAGAGGGAGGAAGAGAGGAAGGAAGGAAGTTGTATCCGTGTGCAGTGTAATGCACTATACGGCACCGTGATGTAACGCAATGTCATGTATGCAACAGTAGGCAACTGAGTACCTATGCATGTACGCACGTACGTATACATACATGTACGTATGCATGCATCTATGCAAGAAGATAAGTTTGTAAGTATGTGTGTGTATACCATCATGCACAGGTGCGTATACATATCCATGTACACATGAGCACATGCGTACACGCACACACAGAGACACACACGCACACGCGCGCGTGCACGCTTAACTTAAACAAAAACACACAAACACGCACACACAGGGACGGGGACGGACACACACAGACGCACGCGCACACACACACATAAATACGCATTTACTTTTAGGTTATATATATATATATATGTGTATGTATATACACACCTGAACATGCATTCATGCATGCATGCACACGGACTTGCATGTAACAACCCATCCATTCATGCATGCATGCGTACGCGTATACATAATATGTGAGTATGTATGTATGTATGTATGTATGTATGTATGTATGTATGTATGTATGTATGTATGTCTGTATATATATATATATATATCGATAAACATGTGCACGGTGGTTTTCGCTGCTATTTATAATGTGCTTGCGTGTATGTCTAGCCACTTGGACTTTGCTGCTACATTCAATGGAAGATGCACACATAAAACCATCTATCCATCTGATCTTCTACCTATGGTCCTATCTATCCGATGTATCTACATAATGTACTTGTCTACCGATCTACCTGTCTATCTGCCTGTCTATCGATCTATCTATCCATCAAAATACCTCGCCAAGAAGAACCATCGACCGATCTGTTTGTCTATCTAGCTATCCATCTATCCATCTATCCATCTATCTACCTATCGATCTATCTATCTACCTACCTACCTACCTACCTATCCATCCATCCATCCATCGATCGATCTATCTAATCTATCTATCTCTCTATCTCTCTAACTATCGATCTAACTATCTATCTCTATCTCTATCTCTATCTCTAACTCTATCTCTATCTCTATCTCTATCTGTCTATCTCTCTGTCTATCTATCCATCTATCTATCTATCTATCTATCTATCGAGGCATCTAGTTAAGACTTTTCAATAAACCTGTCTGTGGATCTACCTGCCTATCTGCCCTTAACCTGTGGAGCAAAACTTTCAGTTTAGGGGCCGCAAGTGGTAGGACCAGTAATTACTTGTCAGACCGCCTTACATTAAAGCTCCTGGGCCCGTTGGACGCCCAAACCGCCACCCCTGGAACATCATTTCAAGCCCAAGTCTTGGAGATCATATCCCTCACCACAAGCAGCACCTGATACCCAAACTGCCATACTACCTAGACTGCGAACTCGAAACCCGCCGCCCTAAAACCGGCAAGCATCAACCAAGTGACAGCTTCAAGAGCGAGTACGGCATTACCTCGAAGACCCATGCAAGGCTTCGGATTCAGATTCGGCGCTTGGGGGGTTGCTCCTTGAAACCTACATTTGGACTTTGGCTTTTAAGGCTTTGGCCGAACAAGACCGAACCGGGGTTGGATTCTCAAGGCTTAGCGGATAGTTTCGGGCCTAGTTTAGGGCCTGTGTGGGGATCTGTATCTGTGGTCTCCTTGCGAAGTGCATCAGCGTGGGCTACGGCGGTGTTTGGCGCCAAGGCAGAGGCCACTGTGATGATGCTGCCTGAAGTCGCACCTTTGTCTGTTGAGCTTCTGAAATTTCTCTCCATTTTGAACCTCCAAGCCACTCCAACATGCAACAGCCTGCCCATCAGACCCCCCATGGGTCCAACCAAGAGAATTCGGAATTGCAGAGTTTCTGCTACCACAGGCGATAGTTGTACAAACGTTATCCAGGAGCGGAAAAAATACATATATATATATATAACTATAGATATAGATGTACATGTATACATAAACATACGCTTCATTTTGCGATCACAATACATCACGATCCGACAATCATCCCGCACAAACGAAACGCCAAATCCTGAGGTCCTGAACCCTGAGCAATGGATCCCCGGTCATCCCAAATCCTAAGTCCCGCATCCCACACCTTCGATCTCAGATCATCAACCCTAAACCCCCGGAACGTGCAGATTCAACGTCTGCCTGCAACACACGAGCCTTTAGGTTTTTAAGGGCTCCTTGATGAGCTACGAGAGGTGTGTAGGTCGGCCATTTGGCCACAGATGCCGTGGGTTGGTGAGGACCCGAAGCCTAACCCTGCCTCGTGAAAAGAGAAGCTTCGTGCTTCGTGCATCATCCTACATGGCAAAAGCTGCCCGCTTTCTCTGCACACCGGGCCGCAGTGATCTGGTTGGCAACCACACGGATTTTCTCTAACAGCTTGCAGCTTCCGATCGTAGGAGGGAGCTCAGAGATCTTGTTGTACCTCGGATCGAAACAAGCAGGCGACAATTTCGGGGCAGCGCGGCAACGAATGCAACATGTAGGGTTCATGTTATCAGTGTGGTCTTTTTGTTAATCGTTGTGCTATTGCTTTCGACTGTACGGATGGTAATGCTATGTTATGCCATGCATTGTTGATGCTATGGCCGGGGAACTGTTGCATGTATTATTGTGTTTGTTGCCACTGCTTGATGATTTGATGTTGTCGGTGCTGCTGTTGATATTGTTGCTGCTGCTGCTGTTGCTG